GCCAGCTGGGGCCTTCCTTCATTCCATGCCACCCCCTGGTGGTCACCACAGGTCATATTGAACTGTTGAACTCCCAGTCTCCTGGTCGAACTCCCAAGGGGACAATTTGCATATTAGCCTTTTATTATATAGGATATCAATGGAGAGCTAGAATTTAGCATATTAAAAACAGGCACAAAAGAAGGATGCCTGCTCTCTATATTTTTATTAGTTTTTTTTCCTCTGGAGTTACTGGCCAAGACAATCAGCCAAAAGAGAGAGAATAGTGTATAATATTGGAAAGAAGGACATAGAATTAGCATGGTGGCCTTTACTGTATTTGTTTTCAGTTTTAAATCCCTTCTTTTCTTATTATTTCTTTGTTCTCTTGAGCCAAAGTTTTGTTTCATTTTTGTTTTCCTTTTGGAGAAAAATTAAATTGTTATCTTTAATGCAGGTCCCAAACATTAGAGTACTTTTTCTTTTTTTATTCCTCTAGACTACAGCATAGTATGTGGTTTCCAGCTCTTCTTGGCTGTCCGTGTCTCCCATGGATCTTTTTTACTCAGAATTCCCTCCTCTCCATGTTTTAAATAAAAGAAGTAGATGGTGTGTGTGTGTGCACACATGCCAGTTCTCAATTGGGTACTTTTTAAATTACATAGTATGAATTCAAACTGCTGGGCAGTTATTTTTAATACCCTTTTCTACTCATAATAGAAGAGAGGAAAGAGATTTTACAGCCTTGGTTTATTTATTATCATTTCGGTAACCAGGAGTGCGTTTTTCAGCTTCAGTGCCTCTACATGTCTTTGAGAGGTTGAAAATAAACGTTGCACTGGGACCAGTTAAGCCGTATTTATACTTCTGTTACTGAAGCCTCATTTAAAATAATTTTTACTGTATGTGTACTAAAGTCAGATTATTGGCACCAGATTTCCTTGTAAATATTAATCATTTATTTTTAAGATATGTGTAAATGAAGGTTATTATAATTTTCCAGTAAGAATTGGTTACATATAGAACTTATTTTTATTTTAACTGACTTTTTCTGCTTACAAATGCAATTATAGAAAACAAACGCTTATGGACACATACTTTACACCATTTAATAGAGCATAAATATATATATACATTTTGAAATGTTCCTTTTTCTTAATGCTGCATTTTAAATATTTTAGCATGTCATTCTTTTTAGGGATCTTACTTTTGAATAATTGCATTTTTTTTCATATGAAATTAATTTCAGAGTCTCCCTTTCTCTCCAGACTTTGTTACTCCTAATTCCTTCCTGCTCACAAGTCCTTCCATTTTTGTTGTCCAGGGAAGAAAAATGAAGCATACCTTTTTTTTTTACATGGTTGAATCTTCAAAGGGACATGTTTAGTTAAAATAAATGAGATTTTGCCAATATGGCTGTACATAATATTTAATAATAGGTGCTGGTTTGCCTTATTGCTGATAAACCACATCTTTGGTTATATATTTGTCTATTGGATTCTAAAATGTTACCACCACCACCACCACCACCACCCCCACCCCCCCCCCCCCCACACACACACACAAAAAAAAAAGTTGCCAAACTATATCAGAGTGAATTTTTTCTGGAGTTAAAAAGGGGAAATACAGAGAGTATAATCTAAAGCTCTGCCATGTCATTCAGTATGATAGCCACTAGCCACCTGTGGGTATTTAGATCTCTATATTTTTATTACTTTTTTTTAGAATTAAGTAAAAACTTGAGTGCTTCAGGTACACACTCCACAGTTCCTTCATGTGCTCAGTAACCACATGTGAATAGTCCAAATGCATATTGAACAAGCAGGTACAGAACGTTTTCAACATCACAGAAAATTCTCCTAGGCAACCTTGGGGTGAAGTCTATACTGGTATTATTAAAAAGCAGAATTTCTGTCAATATTTTTGGAAATAGTGAATAGTTCAAAATTATTTAGAGTAATTTTTACTTTTCTATCAGCTTAATTTTTAAAATCATATACTGAGTAAAATACATAAGAACAGGATTCCCAGTTAGTAAATTCTAGAACATTTAAAAAAATTCTTGATATAGAAAGTCCGGATGTGGGAAAGGTAAGGGGAGGCTCATGGATGAGAATCTAAAGAAGACAATGTAGAAAGAGAAACTGATAGTTGTATGCTTTTATTCATCACCTGAGTGTATGTTTTTATTGATTTTAGAGAGAAGAAGGGAGAGAGAGAGAGAAACATCAAGGTGAGAGAGAAACATTGATTGGTTTCCCCGACCAGGAATCAAACCCACAACCTTTTGGTGTATTGACAACACTCCAACCAACTGGGCCACCTGGTAGGGCAATAGTTTACTGTTTTTAAAAGACCCTCAGAAACAGAAAATTAAGTGGAGAAATAATGTATTTATTAGGGGCAGATAATTTTAGGTTATAATTATGGTATTAATGTAAATTAATCTAGAAAAATTAGGAACCACAGGAAACAAAAATATTAAGAGGGGAAGGGAGGAGAGGAACTGTCAATAATCCTATTGTCATTGAGAATGGTCAGACTATTTGTCACATATCTATCCAGCCTCTTTTCTTGCCCTTGCAAACAGGTCATATTCATTCAGCTATAAATGAGGTCAGTGGAAAACGTGGATGAGATGTGAGTCTGAGAGGCAGGCAAGCAGGGTGCTAAAGAGCTCTGACTCTGAGCCAGATGGCCTGATGTTTAAATCCCAGCTCCACATTTACTGTTTGTGGACCACAGCAACTTATTTCTTTCCTGTATACCTGTATATCCTGTATAAAACTAGACGCCAGGTGCATGAATTCCTGCATGAATGGGGTTTGGCCAACCCTGCCCCAACTGGTGGATCAGGACTGGGCCTTTTGGGAGGAGGAGACAGTGGAAGGTTAGCCAGAGGGGCCCACCCCAGTCAGGGCCAGGCCAGCTGGGGGGAGGGGCTGTGGCCAAAGGGCCGGCTGACCCCGCCCCTGAATGTGGCCAGGGGAGGAGCTGTGGGAGATTGGCCAGCCAGCTCCACCCCCCAGTTGGTGTATGGGGGGTCCATTCGGGAGTGGAGCTGGCTGGGGTGAGGGGTCGTGGACTGATGAGGGAGGTGAGTGCTGATTGGGGGTGGGTCCAACCATGGGGAGGGGCCATGGGTGGTTGGCTGGCCGGCCCTGCCCCCTATTGGGGTAGGATAGGCTGATCAGGGGCAGGGCCAGCTGGGGGTAAGGGCTACAGGGGGACGGGGGGATGTTGGCCAGCTGCCCCACCTTCCATCTGGTGGGAGAGGCCTATCACGGGTGAAGCCTATCAGCCAGGGGGAGGGGCCAAGGAAGGTTGTCCAGCTGGACTCACCCCCCATCGGGCCGGTTTGCTGGCTGCAGTGGGTGTCATAGCAACAAGTCATTCTGGTCATTACAGTGTTCTGGTCCCTGGCTTTTTATATACAGTATATATCGATAAATGGGATGATGGAGCTATCTACATTTCATATTCTTGAGGGTTAAGGTATTCAGAAATTGAACTCATTAAAGAAGACTATTACTAACAATACTGATAACTATTAGGCAGGTAATACAGGCACATGGTAGCTAAGACATATAAGCCTCTATATTTATTATTGCAGGAAAGCAGACATTTACGTAAACATATAGTTGCAGTGAGGTGGAGGAGTTTATGAAGGGTAAGGTCAGTGATAGTAAATGTTGAGGTAACCCAATTCTTGATAATTAGGGAAAATTTATTTAACTTTTAGAATGATTGGTTTTAAATTATACTGTCAGTTTTTCAAATCAAGTCTTTTTATAAATCTGTGTTCTTGAAATTTTGTTTATTACTCAAATGTGATAAATGTTTAACAGTTCTAAGATATTAAATAAAAGTGTTGTCCTGTCATTCTGGTAATATCGTAAGTGTAAGACTTCTCTACTTGATGCTTTGCATTATGTACTGGGCTGCCACAATGATAATAAAATCCTCTCTTCGCAATAGCATCTGGGTATTCAAAGTGAAATCGATCTTCCAGACTTTTTACAAAAAAGTTTGGTTAAGCTTTGAGTATAATTAAAGAGTGTATCACTTGATACTTATTAGAAACAAATTGAGAGGTTCAACAATTTTTCATATTGTATAGTAGGGGGCAGTTTGGTCAAACATAAATAAGAGGCTAACCTAAGTTTTCAAGTATAATATTTTAAGTGTAAAAGCTGAGATAGATTAAACAAGTGCCAGTTGTTTTGTGTTTGTCAAAGCATCTTTCATTTCTAAACTACAGTACTAAAATTTTCAAGGAATTCATCTTATAATGCTTTACAATACTTTTCCCTTTGTGTTAATTGAGTAATGATAATGGAAAGTTAGGTTCCAAATTATTTTTTATTTATTAATATAATGTTACTTGTTTTCCATTATGGAAAATTATTTAAGCTAACTAGTTATAAGAAATGTCTCTAATTGTGAGAGATCCCATCGTTTCTTAGAAATTTGAATTTTGAGGGTGAAGTTGGCAATTTGAAAACAAAACAAAACAGTAAGTAAAAGGAACAGCGTGTTCCTGGAGTGCCTCACAGGCCCCTCAGCGCCCGCTGCCATTCTCCCGATGTTCAGTGCATCCCAGCCGTCAGGATGTGGCTGCCAGATGACTGCTTTCCTTTAATCACAATTTATGTTTTTAACAGGAATATAAACTACAACCAATGCTTGAAGTATTGAAGCAATGTGTTTAAGAAATTAAAGGTTTTAGTTAGCTAATGTTTGTTTGCGGGGGAGGGGGGAGGAAAGGGGGGGGAAGAAATCCCACAAAGGTGTAGTTTCTGTGTGGGTCCTATTTGATGATGATTTTATTTTCTGTTTGACTTTATGTTATAAACCCTGGACCATAGTAATAGATGAATTATGTACACATATTTGTCATCTATAGAACCATTCATCTTTTTGTTTAGAATGTTCAAGATCAATTTCTATTTGCAATCATAAAAATAGCTATCTCAGATGTTTGCTCGCAGTTGAATTATATTAATTTGCTTTTCTTCCAGATTTATGAAAAACTGCACTACTATGAGAGGCAGAACCCGGTGCCCATCCTCCACAGCGCAGCAGCCTTGGCGGATGATGTAAGTGTGCCCTTCTGAGATCACTGGGACAGGTTTGCCACCGGCTGGCCGCAGAACTTACCCTAGTGCAGACAGATGCACACGATACTATGAGTGAAAACCAGAGTAGTTGCAAATGTTTCCAATCGTCCTGTCATCACAGAGCTTATGCTGATATTATGCTTATTTTCACTCTCCTGTTTTAAAAATGTTGCATGTAGATACCCTCTTGTTCTGCCTTGGTAAGTACGTAATATAAATTTTAGGCTGTAATTCTCTCGGGGAGAGAGAAGCTGTCAGCTATTAGTGTACACAGAAAGTCACAGACAAGAGGAATGCTTTGGAGAAATAAAGACAAATGAGATAGTTCTTTTGCTGACAGTACTAAAAAATGACAGATACTAGTATAGGAATAAGGCATAAGAAATACATAAAAAGACAGGATTGTTTTTAAAATGGATTATAAAGCATAGTAATGATTTATGGGTATTAGACCTTTCCAAATTACCTTCATAACCAAAGGATAAATTTTAGAAGCAGCTGGCATTGATGGAGTAGTTAATTTCCTGTAGCTATAATTTTATTTTCAATCTGGGGTAAGGAACTAACTTGCTGTTTCTTACTGTTAACTTTCAGACTTGGATGAATTGAGAGCACACCTGGGTAAACTGTAAGGGACACTAAGCTAGATGAGAAATATGTTTAGTGTGAAGGCTGGTTTTGGTGATCTCCTGCAGCTAATTTTTTGCTTTTTAAGTTTTTACTTTGTTATATTAAAACCAATTATAATTCAGTTTAGTAAAATATCAGGGCCAAAATTATAATTTTAAAAATGGCCATCTTCAGATGTTGATTTTTTAAGGTATTTTATATTTCTAATTTATAAAATAAAGCATGTAATAAACCTCTAAGTTGTAGGTTATTTGTTTAGTTCCCAAACATTTTTCCTTCCATTTTGAATCTATAGAAATTACAGATTACAAGGATATTTCAGTATATGTGTATTATAAAGAAGTTTGCCTCTGCATTATAGAACCAAAAAATTTAAAGGGAAGATGAATAAAAGTGTAGATAGAGTTCTACAGAAAGCTGCATTTGCCACTTGAGAAAGTAAAATTTGAAAACATTTACTGTTGAAGGTTTGGAGAAATATTTGTTTGTAAATCAATGTAATTGAGGCCCAATCATATTATGATAATTTGCTTATAAAAAATTAGAGACTAATATGTAAATGTGGTATAATAGTAATTCATCAGATCAATATATTGAAATGTTAAAAATATTGTTATATATTAAGTGACCAGAGTGCAAAGAGCCCTTTGCAACTTTTTGTAAGCTAATTCTATAAAAATGTTACCTTAAAAAGTAAAAACCATTTTTTGAAATGTAATAAATGAATATACCAATTTTATTGGATTTTATTTTGTGTGTGTAATTTATATGTCATCCTTCTTTTAGAGAAAAGTCCTTTTCCAGAGATAAAAATAGGACAGATTTTATGCAATGTTTTAAGAAAGGTTTTAAAATTAAAATATATGTACATAGTTTTAAATTTGTATTGTATATTTTGTAATTTTAATATTTTTTCTATTTGAATCTTGCTTTTCTTCTTATGAAAATTATATGACCCTTCCTATAGCCCAATATTGAATAGAAATGTTGATAGGAAGATCTTAGTTAAGAATATGGAGCAAGTTTAAAGCTCTAGTCCTTGCTTTAACTGGAACCAGCAAATGGGAATTGTTGACCATTGTGACAGAGTATAGTCAGTGTTTTTGGCACTGGGGTAGTTGTCAACCTGTTATAAGTCATTTTATGATTAACCTGGTTTATATTTAGCAGACTCCATAATCTGTGTAGGTAAACATAATAAAAGTTTTGGACCTTTGCCTTATTAGAGGCATTCTAGTTCTTTTTACCCGGATCTAAACAGCAAGCTACTATGGGTTTTTGGAAACCCTGTGGGTTTCACCACCTCATTCAGAGCTCCCCCCCACATCCCCCACTTCTTTCTATTTTCTTCCTCCCTCCCTCCCTCCCTCCCTCCCTCCTACCTCCCTCCCCTAACTCACTCCCTTCCCTTCCTCCTTCCTTCCTTCCTTCCTTCCTTCCTTCCTTCCTTCCTTCCTTCTTCCTTCCTTCCTTCCCTCCCTCCCTCCCTCCCTCCCTCCTCCCTCCCTCCTCCCTTCCCTCCTACTTTCTTTCTTTCTTTCTTTCTTTCTTTCTTTCTTTCTTTCTTTCTTTCTTTCTTTCTTTCTTTCTTTCTTTCTTTCTTCTTTCTTTCTTTCTTTCTTCTTTCTTTCTTTTTTAATAGTGTCAAAGTTTAATCCAGTACGTTTTACAAGTAGTTCTTTGTCTGCCTTCAAAAGGCCATTTTGGTAGATGAAGTGCCGTGGTTTGCCCTCATTGCAATAAATCAGAAGGTGATCTGGCTGATGTGATTCCTTGGGCTGTGCTTAGCCAAAGGCCTGGGCTGAGATCTGGGCTAGCAAGGGTCTAAAAAGAAAAGCAATGATTGATATACCGTTTTATTTCATGCTGACTTTTCCTTAATCTCTGGACAGTCCACAAGATAGATATGTAGTGGGCACACATGGAACTACATGATGCTCTTATTAAATATTCTTTATGTCAATGTGTTCTCTCTTGCAGCTGGCTGAAGAGCTGCAGAACAAGCCATTAAATAGTGAGATCAGAGAGCTGTTGAAACTACTGTCAAAACCCAATGTGAAGGTGAGGACATGCGATGAATATCTTCCAAAGGTCACCTCAGATGAATTTTACTCTGAGCTTCAATTTTCAAGTAAATTCATTTTTAATAAGTGCATAGTATTTTAATAGACTAAATCTCATTAAGGAAAAAGAGGTGAGCTTTTAATGATAACGTTGTGACAAATTATAAGATACATTAATTGGGAAGCTCTGAAGGTAGCTTCAAGGTTATTTTCCTTTTTAATGAAGTTATGAGTACAGAATACAGAACCTATTAGTGATTTGGTATATGTTCATTTTACTAGTTAATGATATTGCAATATATTTTACAATTATATATTTTCCTGGATCAGTTTAACATTCCTCTTCTTCCTCCTCCCCCCTCCCCCCCGCCTTTGTCCACCTGTATCCTGTCCTTCTACCAACTATTTTATAAAGTAGAGCAGCTTTCAGTGTAAATACAACTATAATATTGGTAATATTTTAATTCTTTCTGGCATTTTTCTCCCATGCTTGTCACTTATTTTCCCTCTAACTGTGATTAGTTAATATAAGGCATTTTAAAAATTTCCTACTAATTTTACAGTCCAAAATGCACTAAATCCCAAAAGTGCTATATACTCACTTGACTCTACTACAATTGTAAATAAAATATTGTTCATGAGTCAAAATTACATATAGGTTGCATAATATCCTATCTAATAAAGAAGTAATATGTTAATTGACCCTCATGCCATTGAAAAGATGGCTGCACTCATAGCCAATAAGGAAAGAATGTGCAATTGCTGCCCCACCCTCAAATATGGCAGTACCACAGCCAATAAGGTGGGACTATACTAATTGACTGTCACATCCTCAAAGATGGTGGCACCCTCAGCCAATAAGGAGGGAATATGCTAATTGACTGCCACACATCCAAGATGATGTTATCCAGTCCCCTCAACCCCACTTTCCAGCCCAAGGCACAGAAAAGCCTCAGATGTAGGCTGCCCAGTCACCCAGGGCCAGCTTGAGGTGCAGGCAATTCTTGGATGGTGGCTGCCCAGCTACACAAGGCTGCCCAAGGCTCAGGTAACCAGGGCTTGCGCTGACAGCAGTGACAGCAGCAGAAGTGTGAAAGGGTGTCGCCTTCCCCTGATCACTGGGTTGCCTCCTGCCCTTGAAGGCTCCTGGACTGTGATAGGGGGCAGGCCAAGCTGAGGGACCCCCTCCAGTGCATGAATTTTCATGCACTGGGCCTCTAGTATATAATATAAATGATTAGTTATGGTGATTTCTGATAAGCTTATATAGAGTGTTGAATGAAAATATCTTCCTTAATACAAAAACCAGTTTCTACCTTCCTTGAAAAATCTCCATTGGAACTGTGCTATATGTGTCTTAAATTGATATTCAAAAAAATAAAGATAGAGGAGTGTCAAGATGATGATGTAGCTAAATGCTATACTCATCTCCTCCATCAAAATTACAACTAAAATACAGAACAACCATCATTCAGAACCGCCTGAAATCAGGTTGAATGGAAGTCCTACAACTGGAGAAATAAAGAAGAAGCCACATTGAGACTGGTAGGAGGAGCAGAGGCATGTAATGGGCTACTCTGACACCATGTGTAGCATTTTTTAATCAGGCAGGATATCTGGGCTACAGAGGCCTCCTATGAGGAGCAAGTAGTTTCAGCCCCACTCTAGACCCCTCAGCCTAGGGTTCCAGTGCTGGAAAGAGAAGTCTTGGTAACTTTGGGCTATAAAAACCAACAGGAATTGTGGCTGGGTGACAGGGAGGCTAATGGAGATCCAGGCAGTTCCTCTTAAAGGGTCCACACAGACTTACTAGGAGGTTCTCACTGTGAGCTCCAGTGCTGGAGTAGCAGCTTGAAAGGACCCAGCAAAATATGGAGAGGAACTAAATTGTCTGGCATCTGAGCAAGAGCTGTGGAGCAGCTGCTTTGGAGATAATAAACTCCTCTAGCCTTTTTTTTTGTCTGGGAAGCTCTTTATTTCACTATTTATTTTGAATTATAGCGTGGCTGGATAGAGTAGTCTTGGTTTCAGATCCTTGCCTTTGATTAGCTTGAAAATTTCAGGCAATCTCTTCTGGTCTATAGTGTTTCTGTTAAGAAATCAGCTGACAGCCTTATGTGAGCACCTTTGAAGGTAACTAGTTGCTTTTCTCTCATTGCCTGTAAGTTTCTCTATCTTTCATTTTTGGCATTTAAATTATTATATATTTTTATATGAGTCTTATTGTATTCTTCTTGCTTGGGACTCTGTGCTTCTGGAACTTGTGTGACTTTTCCCTTCACCAGGATATGGAAATTGTTTGTGATTATTTCTTCAAACAGGTTCTCTATTCCTTGGTCACTTTCTTCCCCTTTTGGCATTACTTTGATGTGAATGTTGTTATGTTTCTTGTAGTCCCTGTTTCCTTAAATTTTTTTCTTAATAATTTTTTTTTTCTTTTTGGTTCTCTGGTTGGCTGATTATTTTTCTAACCTGTTTTGTAATTTGCTGATTTTATTCCTGCATTTTTCTAATTTTCTTTTTATTTCTTCCAGTGAATTCTTTATTTCTGTTATGTCATTCTTTATTTTTGACTGTTTTTTTTTTTAAATAATTTCTGTGTTACTTTTCATGCTGTTGAGCATTCTTATAATCATTACACCGAACTTTATGTTTAATAAATTGCTTATCTTTACTTTATTTAGCTCTTCTTCTGGAGGGTTCTATTTTTCTTTCATTTGAGCCTTCTTTGTCTCCTCTTTTTGGCTCCATTTTAATGCTTGTTTCTATTTATTGTTATGTTTCCCAGTTCTGGTGGGCTGGCCTTCTGTAGTGGGACTCCATAGTGCAGTCCTCTTGGTATTCTGAGATGACTGGGTGCTCTGGTAATGTCCCTTGTATAGATTATTGGGGCTCTCCTATTATAATTTGATCCTGATTCCTGTTGTCCCTTCTGTGGGTACGCTTGATCCTCATGTATGAGGCTCAATCCCAACCACCTTGTGTCAGCTGTTATACAGGTTCTGACATAATAAGACAAGACAAAAAAGGACAAAACTGAAAATAGCATACACACACACACACACACACACACACACAATAAAACTAATCACAAGAACCAAAACACCACCAACAACAAGAAAACATAAGAAAAGAGAAGAGGAGGAAAGGAATATAAAAAAGAATACTATATAGAGAAACCAAGATGGTGGCCTAGGTAAGCATCTAAGCTGCCGCTTCTCACAACAATTTCGAAACAACAACTAAAAGACAGAATGGACATTATCCAAAACCACAGGAAAGCTGGCTGACTGGGAAATCTACAACTAGAAAGAAGGAGAGAGGCTCAGGGATCAGGAAGCCGCAAAGCACTGAGGTGGGGAGATGCTTGTGCAGAGAGGAAGGACGGCTGAGTGCCTGGCTGGCAGGAGGGGAAAAGAAGCCTCCGACTGCACTGAACCCCAACCCTGGATGAAACCACATAGACCCAGGCTCATATGGGTGGAGTCTGGACTGTAGAGAAAGGCATCCGGAGACTCAGAGACTGGGAGACTTGGGGGAGTCTGGAGCCACAGCAGGCAGGATCTAGAGGTGCTCCTACTTGTGCAAGTGAGTGCACGCAGAGAGGTCTAACTGCGGATGTTGCCACGGCCTCTCCACAGAAGGAGTCAGAAGCTTCAGACTGCACTGAATCATAGTTCCTACTGCACTGGGATTAAAAATATTATACAGAGACCCAACCCAGTTCTGGGCGAGCCCCTGGGGCACCCATGCTCTTACAAGGGGAATCTGGACTGTCTGGCGGAAACTCAGGGGACCTTGGAAGGCAGAGATCTGAGGTGTGCCCACAAGGGCAGGGCTTGATGGGAAGCCAAGACTGTCAGCTCAGCCCTGAGGCTTCCCCATCCAAGCTGAGCACAGAGGCTGTTGCAATTTTGCAAGTCTGATCCTATAAGACTGTCTCCAATATAGAAGGTATCTTGGCATAGACATAGCTGATACATCCAATTGGCCTGGAGGTCAGTTTCTCCCAGTGATACCAACAATCAAGACTTAACTACAACAAGGCTGTACACACAGTCCACAAGAGGAGAACCAAGAGGGTCTACCTCAGGTAATTGGGGAGGCTGACCCATTGGGCCATATAGGACACCAAGCACACAAAGCCACCCTACCAACTCAGGGAAGCAGCAAAAATTCTGAGACAAGGAAATAAATCACAAACGAAAGAAATGGAGAACAAAAGACTGGATATAAAGTTCAAAACCACACTTATAATGTTTTTCAAGAATTTTCTAGAAAAGGCTGATAAATTTAATGATACCCTTGAGGATATGAAAAAGGACCAACTAGAAATTAAACATACACTGACTGAAATAAAAAATATTATACAGAGATAACCCAACAGCAGACTAGAGGAACACAAGAACCAAGTCAAAGATTTGGAATACAAGGAAGCAAAGGACACTCCTTTGGAGAAGCAAGAAGAGAAGAGAATCCAGAAAGTTTAAGGTAGTGTAAGGAGCCTCTGGGACAACTTCAAGCATACCAACATCAGAATTATGGGGGTGCCAGAATAAGAGAGAGTTCAAGATACTGAAAACCTATTTGAAGAAATAATGTCAGAAAACTTACCCCACCTGGTGAAAGAAATATACTTACAAGTCCAGGAAGTGCACAGAACCCTAAACAAAAGAAATCCAAAGAGGACCACACCAAGACACATCATAATTAAAATGCCAAGGGGAAAAGACAAAGAGAGAATCTTAGAAGCAGCAAGTGAAAAACAGTTAGTTACCTATAAGGGACTCACATGATATTAGCTGATTTTTCAAAAGAAACTATGCAGGCCAGAGGAGAGTGGAAGAAATACTCAAAGTGATGAATAAGGAGGACCTACAACCAAAATTACTCTACCCAGCAAAGTTATCATTCAGAATTGAAGGTCAGATAAAGAGCTTCACAGATAAGAAAAAGCTAAAGGAATTCACCACCACCAAACCAGTATTATATGAAATGCTGAAAGGTATTCTTTAAGAAGAGGAAGAAGAAGAAAAAAGTAAAGATAAAAATTATGATAAATATATATCAACAAGTGAATCTAAAAAATCAAGTGAATTAAAAATCTGAGTAACAGAATAAAATGGTGAAGTAACTGAATCAGGGGCAAAGAAAGGGAGTGGATTCATAATTATCAGGGGAAAGGGGTGTAGATGGTGCAGGAAGAGATTGTATTAAAATCATACACCTATGGATGAAGATAATGTGGGGGAGGTAAGGGCAGAGGGTGGGGTGGGAACTGGGTGGAAGGGATCTATAGGGGGGAAAAGAAGAAACAATTGTAATAATCTGAGCAATAAAGATTTATTAAATTTTTAAAAAAGGAATACTATAATACAATAGACCAAAAGAATTAGAGCAAGAAGAAGGAAATGAAAAGAGAATGTGAACATAAAGAAGGTAGAGGAAAGAAAGGAGAAAAAAAAAATAAGTCTAGAAGAGAAGATAAAAATATGTATATGTGAAATAATAATTTCAAAAGGCAATAATACTGAATAATGTGAACTAGGAAGGAAAAAAAGAAAAGGAAATAAAATTTTAAAAAAGCAAAGGAAAAGAATAAATGGAGAAGAAGAGAAAGAAATAGGGATGTAAGAGGGGGAAAAAAGGCATAAACAAAATGGAATCTAAATAATTTAGATTATATTCAAAGTAATAGTATAAAATTAAAAAGAACAGCAGAACAAAAAGTGGAGTTTGGCTCTGCAGTTTTTGCTGCCTACTGTGCATTCACCCTTTGGATCTGCTGTTTGTGAGGCTTGCTGGGTTTTGCTGGGTAGTCGTCCGACCCATTGGTGTGTCAGTCACAGGCCTCTAGGTAGGTTTTTCAATGTCAGTTACTATCCCTTTCTGTTTTGTTTGTTTGTTTTGGTATCCTGCTACATTGCCAAATTTATGTATTAAATCTAGTGGGGGCCGGGACCGGTTTGGCTCAATGGATAGAGCGTTGGCTTGGGGACTGAAGGGTCCCGGGTTCGATTCCGGTCAAGGGCATGTACCTTGGTTGCGGGCATATCCCCAGTAGGGGGTGTGCAAGAGGCAGCTGATCAATGACTCTCTCATCGATGGTTCTAACTCTCTATCTCTCTCCCTTCCTCTCTGTATAAAATCAACAAAATATATTTTTTTTAAAATAAATCTAGTGGGGTTTTTTGGTGGAGTATTTAAGGATTTTTCTATGTACAATATCATGTCATCTGCAAATAATGAAAGTTTTACTTCCTCTTTTCCAATTTGGATGCCTTTTATTATTATTTTTTTTTGTCTGATCATAGCGGCTAGCACTTTCTGTACTATATTGAATATGAATGGTGAAAGCAGACATCCCTATCTTGTTCCTGTTTTCAGGGAAAATGATTTTAGTTTTTTCCAGTTGAGTATGATGTTCGCTGTATGTTTGTTATATACATGGCCTTTATTATGTTGAGGTATGATCCTTCTCTTCCCACTTTGTTGAGAGATTTTATTAAAAACAGGTGTTAGATTTTGTCCAGTGTTTTTTCTATATCTATTGTATGATCATGTAATTTATGTCTTTTCAATTTGTTTATGTGATATATCACCATTTATCGATTTGGGAATATTGTACCAGCCTTGCATTCCCTAGAATAAATCCCACATAATCATGGTGTATGATCTTTTTAATATCTTGCTGGATCTGATTTTCTAATATTTTTTTTGAGAATTTTAGCATCTATATTCATCACGGATATTGGCCTGTAATTCTCTTTCTTTGTAGTGTCTTTATCTGGTTTTGGAATTAGGATGAGACTGTCTTTATAAAAAAGAGCTTGGATTAAAAATCCTTCCTCTTGGGTTTTTTTGAATAGCTTGAGTAGTATAGGTGTTAGTTCTTTGAATGTTTGGTAAAATTCCCCTGTGAAGCCATCTGGATCAGGCTTTTGTTTGCTGGGAGTTTTTAAATTACTGCTCCTATTTCCTTAGTTGTTATTGGCCTATTCAAGTTTTCTGATTCAGGTGTGGGAGATTGTATTTTTCTAGTTATTTGTCCATTTCATACAACACAAATTGTTCGCCTTCCTAGCTTTTGGCTACCAGTCTGATATGTGGCAGGTCAGAGCCCTGAGTAGTCTGGTATGTGGATCCTCTGTATTCCAGAGATTGGGTTTCCAATGGGACTCTCCCCTTGAATGTCCTTGCTCTGAGTTGCTTTCCCTTCCCCATGCATCTTCATTCTATGGGGTATCCAGGGCTTGGCTGGGGTAGTTTAGTGTGAAGTGATATCATCTCTAGAACATGGTGTTATTATTTAAGAAGTCAGGGGAAATTTGGTAGAGTTTTTAAAGACAATAAATAAAATAAGGAAATTTGTTGTGATTTTTTAGCTTCCAAAACATTCATTTGCAAGAAATTAATCATTGAGCATACAGAAAGGATGAGATTTCATTAAGTCTGCTAAAGGGAAAAGTTAAGCTTTTTTCTGGAGGAATAAATTAGTTTTACTCACCTTATGATAGGGCACTTAATTCTGTGGACCTGATTGATAAATAGAACATAGAGTTGACTTCAGGGGGTCAAAGGCATTGAGAGCTAATGGGCCTCCTGAGTGTTCAACTTCTTGCAGATTCACCTGAGGGACAGGTAAACCCATCTGTTGTGATTGGTGGTTGTGGCATATGGAAACACATTTTTTATTTAAGAATTGCCTTTTGAAAGGAAAATTTGTATATTGAATTTGTATACAACGTTACTAATAGAAATGTTGCTAAACAAAAATAATTGTAAAAAGCTACTAAAAATTAGAACTTGATATCTATAAACCTTAAAGGTATATTTTGGAAAAGAGACACGGGACTCAATCTAGAAAGCTAAGGAGGAAAAATACATAGCTGTTGTTCTTGTTCTTAATATTGCCTATAATATAATAATTACTTTATTTTAAAATATGTTCATTAGTTATCTTTATTATTTTTACTTTATATAAAATAGTTGCCATAGATACCAAGATGGTGGACATTTCTGATATTCATTTCTTTGTAGGGATTCATGGTCCCATCTGATGCCATTCTTCCTCTCTGAAAATATTCTGATTATATTTTTTTGAAATACAAATCTGTTGGTGATTAATTTTTTGAGATTTTGTATGGCTAAAAAGTCTTCAATATCCCTTCATTTCTAAAATATATTTTACTAGGTATAGAATTTTAGGTTGATAGTATTTTTCTTTGAGTATTTTAAAGATACTACTCCTACATTGTTACTGATGAGAAGGGTTGTCATTTAAATTTTTTTTTTAATATATAATGCATTTTTTGGTATGATAGTAAGATCTTCTCTTTATCAATGGTTTCAATCAATATGATGTTACTTTTATGTTTCTTTTGGTAGATACATTGATCTTCTTGAACATGTGGCTTTTTTTTGGGGGGGGGATATTTTCTGCCATATTCCCTCAAATATTTTTTAGTATCCTTCCTTTCTTTGTGTATATGTGCATATGTTAGGCCATTGAAATTGTCCTTCAGGTCAGTAATGTTCTTTTTATTATATTTTATCTTTGTTTTATTTTGGATAGTTATTTTTGGGGTCTGATAACACTAACATTTTTTAATATAAATTAATGGTTATTTCTTTTTTACTTTATGCCATTTCGGTTATGAAAGGTTTCATAGGAATCCCCTAATCTCAAATAGTGGAGCTATAATACACAGTTTATCAACCTTAGAACTATTCACATTTTGGGGCTGGATAATTATTTGTATGTTATTAAATGTTTAAAATTATACCTGGCCCCAGTGTACCAGATGTCACCAATTAGATTTTCTTTATACTTTTATGGATTTGGGGTTTTGTATTTGATTAAGCTCGCTCCCTGCCCCCCAGCATATGCAATCACCCCCCTACTGTCTGTGTCCATTGGTTATGCTTTATGCATGCACACAAGTTCTCTGGTTGATCTCTTACCCCATCCCTCCTATGCCTTACCTCTTAGGTTGGATGGTCTGTTTGATGCTTCTATGACTCTGGCTCTATTTTTCTTTATCAGTTTATGTTGTTCATTATATTGCACAAATGAGTGAGATCATGTGATATTTATCTTTCTCCAACTGGCTTATTTTCCTTAGCATAATGTTCTCTAGGCCCATCCATGATGTTTCAAATGGTAAGAGTTCTTTCTTTTTCACAGAAGCATAGTATTCCATTGTGTAGATGTACCATATTTTTTTTAATCCACTCATATGCTGATGGGCACTTCAGATGTTTCTAAATCTTAGCTATTGTAAATTGTGCTGCTATGAATATAGGGGTGAATATATTCTTTTCCAAGAACTCAGAAGTACCAATCAGATTAATTGTTTTTTTATCAACCTTTTACTTTGATAGGCTTTGCTCTCTGTGCATGACACTGTAGCTCAGAAGAAATATGATCCAGTATTGCCTCCTATGCCTGATGATATTGATGATGAGGAAGACTCGGTAAAAATAATTCGTCTGGTCAAAAATAGAGAACCCCTGGTAAGTTTTGGTCTTCTTGTGCACAGATAAGAGTAGATATCATGAAAAAGCTAAATCTGATGAGGACATTCCAAAAATTCCTTGGTTTAAAATACACTTCCTCTGTGTCCTAAAACTTTCAAGTAAATGGAACATTTATGTCTAAAGAATATATATGATTTAGAAAAATGAAATGACATTTTGTTGGTTATAAGTAGCAATAATTTTAAAATGTGAATTGTTGACATTTATAAAAGAAAGCATATGCACTAGTCACAGATGATTTGAGATTAAATGGTGCATAAGAATAATTGCTTATGGCTTTTTCTAGCCATATTTTTTTATTTGTTTTATTTATTTGTTTATTTTATTTATTTGTTTATTTTAATATTCTTATTTTATTTATTTGTTTATTTTAATATTTTTAAAAATTGATTTCAGAGAGAAAGGGTGAGGGAGAGATATATAGAAACATCACTACTGAGAGAGAATCATTGATCAGCTGCCTCCCACACGCCCCCTGCCTGGTATTAAGCCCACAATCCTGGCACGTGCCTTGACTGTGAATAGAACTGTGACCTCCTGGTTCATTAGTCAACTCTCAACCACTGAGCAACACAGGCCGGGTTAACAAAAGGTTTCGAATGGGAGATTATTTTGGTTTATCTAGCGGGCTCAATCTAGACACAAGCGTCCTAACTAAAGTGAAAGAAGGAGGCACGAAGGCCTGTGTCATAGAAGGAGATGTGATGATGGAAACAGGTTGGAGTGATGTGGCAATGAACCACAGAATGCTAGAAGCTTCCAGCAAATGGAACAAGCAAGGACTGGATTTTATCCTACATCCACCAAAGAAATGTAGCCCTGCTGACACATTGATTTTAGCCCCTTAGTACCCATTTTGGCCTTCCTACCTCCAAATTGTCAGGTAATAAATTTGTGTTGTTTAAGCCATTGAATCAGTGGTCCTTTGTTATAGCAGTAATAGAAAATAAATATGCAGTGTATTCATATATTTATAAAACTACAGTCAAAAGACAAATAAGTTAATTTTATTATGTAGCACTTGATTTTATTCTAATTAAGATATTTCTATTTTCTTAAAGCAAATAGCAGTTGATAATATAATAGTTGCTGAGTACTATTTTAAGTACTTTACATACATTATATTTAATTCACATGGTTGGTATGAGGATCATAGTTTTTCTTTTTATAAACCAGGAAACTAATATTCAGAGAAGTGAAGCAACCTACCCAATTATGACTACTAATGAGTGGTAGAACCAAGATCTAAACTTGGCTCTTTGTTTTTAAATACTAGTTAGCTTTTTCTTCTTGGTTTTTTTTTGTTTGTTTGTTTGTTTGTTTTTTAATACCTGAGAATATGTTTTAATTGATTTTTAGAGAAAGGGGAAGGAAAAGAAAAAGAGAAAAAATCGATATGAGGGAAACATTGATTGGTTGCCTCTCATAGGCACCCTGACCAGGGATCTGATATGTGATTTAGTTATATGCCCTGATGGGGAATCGAATCCAAAACATTTTGGTGTATGGGAGGACACTCCAACCAATTGAGCTACCCACCAGGCTCTAGTTTTATCTTCTATACGATATTGTGTCTTTGCACTTTTCCTTTTTGGTTCTTTTTTTCTCTTTTTTGTTTTTTGGGGGGTGTTTTTTTGTTTTGTTTAAGGATAGATAAATGCATTGGACATTCCTACTGAGAAAAATGTATGCGATAAGTTTGCATATTATATCAAGGGATTTATTGAGCCCCAGAATCTCATCCATGGATATCCTAGCACTCCCTATATTCCTAGTTAATATTATTTAATTTAGGTTGTACCTTCCTGCTTTTCATCTGTGATTATAGCTCTATGCTGATAACCTAAAAAGCTTGTGATTTTTATTATTGAGGTGATATATTTAGTAAGAATAGGTGACACTCATGTTGAATATAGAAAGAGCTGTCTCAGGGCCTAGCACCATAAAGTGACTAATTTTTAGTGGGTTCTGTGCATCTGTTAACTTAAATACCTTTTTATTTTGCTTTAAATTCAGCCCTTTAGGGAGATCATTGAAAGACTATCTTGAGAAGTTCAATAATTAATAATTCATTTGATTTGTCATAATTTCTTCAGGGACAGTAGTTTTGGTGAGCTAACATTTAAATATTCATCAGCAACATTTAAGTCCCATGCCTTCTGATAAAATAAGATCTTTAAAATGTTTATCAAAGAAATTCGGCATGTACTGCATTAAGATTTCACAAAAGGTTTGACTGGAGCTACTATGAATTAGTTTAAATTCAAAAACGTTGAATGACATATATAAAATAATCTAAAGCTGTGTTATCATAGTTTGTTACTAAACATTTATTTAGCTAATAAGCATGTAACAACTGAAATAATTTGACCTAACTTTGAGGTGGTGATTATTCATCTAATACCCTCTTCCATTACAGATTATATAATACAGTGTATATAAGATAGTAGCAAGAGTGACATGTTAGATTTAATAGGACTTGTGGATACAGAGGGCAAAAGGAGAGAGGAAGTCAACAGTAGCATTGGGGGTTTTTATTTAGGTGCCTAGAAGTATTATACATTACATTGGCAAGAATAAAAGAAGATGCATGGGAATATCAATGACAAATTCCCTTATGATTATACTGAGCCTATGAGCTATGCAGGTGCTAGCAAAAGGTTAGATATTTAGGAAAGGGAACCAGAGAAATTTCTTTAAAAATAATGTTGAATTGGTAAATTATTTAAAAACTGAATATTTATCTTTAGCATGAGAATGTTTTCCAGGTTTGTAATATTTGTGTATTTGGGGGACATTAAAGCATATCTCAAAATTATTCAGTTTCTTATTAGTATATTATGGTATAACTAGAGGCCCAGTGCACGAATTTGTGTACCAGTGGGGTCCCTTGGCCGGGCATGTGGGATTGGGCCAAAACCAGCTCTCTGACATTCCCTGAGGGGTCCCAGATTTCAAGAGGGCACAGGCCAGGCCAAGGGACCCCACCAGTGCACAATCAGGGCTGGGCAGGATCCGTGGGAGGGACCGTGAGAGGGCTTCAGGGCATGTTCAGCCTGGTTCACTCAGTCCCGATCAGCAGGATCCCAGCATCATGCTAACCTACCGGTCAGAGTATCGCCCCCTGGTGGTCAGTGCCCATCATAGCAACTGGTCGACCAATCTGCTGTCTTCCCCCTGGTGGTCAGTGCATGTCATGGCGACTGGTTGAACAGCTTTAGCATATCATTAACATGTTATGTTTTGATTGGTTGAATGGATGCCCAGACAAGTGGACACTTAGCATATTAGACTTTTATTATATAGGATTTGGCAAGTTTGTAATATATTTAATGGCATTTTTCTCTCTGCTTCCCCAAAAATGGGCAAGGAGAAAGAAGCCAAAGTTAAATACAATTTTTTCAAGTGTATGGTTAGGATATTTTGGCAAATGACTCAAGAGAAAAGGCCATATAATTTAGCAGTCAAGTGTTAGATTATCCATGTTAAGAATGTAATTTTGTTTATTTGACCCAGGTGTAATGTGGTAAAATGAATACCAAGCTTGCATTAGGTGACCTGAGTGTTATAGGGGGTCACTTATTTGCCATATATCCTTATAGCAGTGAGTTGTTTAACAACTCCATCTCAGCTTCCTTATCAGAAAGTATAACTCTTTTAGAGTGTTTTAATCATCAACTGAGATATAATGTATTTGAAATGCTTTTTATGTTCTTGTGCATTATGTGTTAGATAAATGGTCCATTGAATAATAAGGCTAGATGACAGCTGTTTAACCACAGCATGATTTTCCAGAAGGGGCAATGAACAAAGATCATATAGGCATTTGGCAATGAAAAGGGACAAGGGTGCTAATTCTAGGGGAGAGATGGATAAAAGAATTGAGAGAAGGGGAGAAAAACAACAATAAGGATATAAGACACAGAGCTATCCTCACTCCCTTGTGAGTTTGGAGGAGCTTATGTTTGTTGTATCCAGAGATTAATTTTTAGACAAGCTTAAGAAAATGAAATTCTATTAGTTGGTAGGTGGATTTCATCCTAAATTTTCAGTGTTTCTTGCATGGATTGTCTTCTTGGTTCTTTTAGAATAGTGGTTCTCAAACTCTGCTATTATAGGAATTACCTGAGATGCTTACTTAAAAATGCAGATTTATGGGCCTCTACCGTAAATGGCCTACATTAGTAGGTTTTGGGCAAGGCCTGGGAATCTAGATTTTAAAACGTGTCTCAGAGGGTTTTGATGCAAATATTTGGTATACCATCCTTTGAAAACCCCTACTTCAAAGGATTAACTTTAAATCAACAGTGCTACCAGCTTAAAAAGGTCTTATGATATTGGCAGTGTTACAGGAGATGAAATTTTTATTCAAGGAGATCATGATAGCCTAGTCCTCTTTGCATTTCTCTTTTATAAGCCATTATATAGTAATAGTAACAATTATCTAACCAGAAGTTAATTTCTCAATTTAACCTTAAGTTCTCTATACTCATATTTTGCCAAAATCACACCAAATAAATTATAAAAATAATTATATAAGAAAATACATAAGTTATAAAACATTAGATTAAATTTTAATTCATTTTGCATATGCAAATATGCCTTAGGACTTTTAAATTTTGTACAATATTATATGCAATTAGCTTTATTTTTATGCATCTTGCACTAAGAATACTTCAAAGAACTATGACATAGCAGTTTGGAAAGCAAAATGGAAACAAATATCTGCAGAAGTAAGATTGTAAAGAAGATAAGTCAAGTGCTAGCTAATGTCATGTAGAAGTGGGGAGATTATTCCTCAGGTTCATAGTTTACCATCCAAGGAAGGGAAGAATCAGCCAATAGCAAATGTATTATATTTTATAGTACATATCTATAACAAGGTAACCCTTAAATTTTTTTTTTTAACATATTTTATTGACTTTTTACAGAGGAAGAGAGAGGGATAGAGAGTTAGAAACATTGAGGATAGAGAAACATCAATCAGCTGCCTCCTGCCTACCTCCTACTGGGGATGTGCCCGCAACCAAGGTACATGCCCTTGATTGGAATTGAACCTGGGACCTTTCAGTCCACAGACCAACACTCTATCCACTGAGCCAAACCAGTTTCGGCTTCAGTGTTCTTTTTTATTTATATATTCTGGAAGTGATTCATACAACATCTGTATGCTAATGACTTCTGGGGCTATTTCTCTCTTCTAGACATTTATTCTAATGTTTAAATTTGTATGTCCACCTGTCTACTTGATCTCCATTAGATGTCTAATAGCCATCTCAGTCTTAACATGTTCCAAAGGATAATGGTCTTTGTCTTCAAATGTGTTCCATCCGTAGGGTTCCCCTCTCAGTTGATGACAATCCCATCTTTCCAGTTGCTCAGCCAAAAACCATAGAGTCTATCTTTTATACTCTTCCCCTCTTTCACTTGCCATTTCTAACCCATTGGGAAATCTTTTTGTCTCTACCAATAATATATCCAGTCTACCTTTCATTATTTTTGCTCCTGCCAATCAGATTGAATCTCCCATCCTCTTTCCCTTGGATTACAATAATAGCCTCCCTTTAGCCCTTGCTATCCTTCATTCTTTTTTTCTTTTTTTTAACCTTTTTTTTTTATCCTTCATTCTTATTTTTCTTTCCACTTTTAAATCATTTTTATTTTTGAATTAGTTAACAAATATTATTATGTTGGTTTCAGGTGTACACCCCAGTGATTAGAGACTACGTAACTTACTAATTGATCATCCCACTAAATCTCGCACCCATCTGACACTGTACATAGTTATTAGAATACTATTGACTACTAGAGGCCCAGTGCATGAAATTTGTGCACAGGGTATGGGGTGTTCCTCAGCCCAGCTGCACCCTCTCCAGTCTGGGACCCCTCGGGCCTAAACTAGCAGTCAGACATCTCTTTTGCAATCTGTGACCACTGTATTCTAACTGCTCACCTGCCTGCTTACCTGATCACCCCTTACCACTGCCTACTGGCCTGATCAACCCCTAACTGCCCCCCCCCAGCCTGATCACCCCTAACTGCCCTCCCCTGCTGGCCTGGTCTCCCCTAAAAGTAGTACATTTACTTGCCCTGCCACCTTGACCAGAAGTCCTCCTTCACTCTCTTAACATAGTAGGTGGAGTGATCCTTTCATATTGCAACACTCCTGCTATCAAAGCCTTGCATATTGTATCTTTAATTCATAGTAAATTCTAGAGTCCTCACAATGACCTACAAAGCTACATGATCTGGATGTCTGTTACTTCTGACTTCACTTCCTACCGCTTCTTCCCTTTTACTTTACTCCAGCCACACTAGCTTCTTTGCTCTATTTTAGACATTTATTTCATAGCCACCACAGCACTTTTGCCCTGGCTATATCTTTAACTCTTTCTCTTCAGCTAACTCCACTTTTTTCCATTCTTTCTTTATGCAGTTGTCATCTTCCCAGTGAAATCTGTGTTTTTCCATCATGTTCCCTCTACTTGCCTGGCACTCCTGAGCTTTCTTACCCTTCCCTCCCCCACTCATCCCCGTAGTGCTTACCACTTTCTAACATACTTTATAATATAGTTCTCTCATGTTTTTATTGTCTGTCTTTTCTGTTAGAACAGGCATAATCTCCATGACAGGGCAGAAATATGTGTGTGTTTCCTCCCCCCCACCCCCCACTGTTGTACAATATTATAAGCTCTTAGAACAGAGCCTGGCACATAATAGGGTCTCAGTAAACACTTGTTTCATTGAATCACAAAATAAGTCAAAGTGATAACTAGCTTTAGGCGCAATGAATTGGGTAGCTCTATACTGAAAAACAGTATAAACCATAGTGGAGAAAAATCTGTCCTAGTTATAGTTCTGTGTCACAAACCACACCCCAATTTGTGGCCAAAACAATAATTTATTATTATTAACTTTCACAGTTTTGGAAGTTGGCAGGCTCAGCTGAGCACATACAATTAAACTGATGCCTGTAGTAGGAAGGAAGTTGGGAGCTGGTCCAGTATCTCTTTTTCCAGGTGGCATTTCCACTAGTCTAGCTTGGGCTTCCTCACAGCATGACAGCAGTCATGATTTTTCACGTGGTGGCTGGCGTAAGTCAAGTGGTAGCTGCAAGTCTTGTGGCTTTAGATGCCTCTGAGTCATTTTCACTATTGGATATGGGAATATCACACACATACAAAGAGAGAAGGAATTGATTACCTCCATCTTGAAAACAAGGTCTCATTTGTAAATTATGGATAAGTAACCTATACTAATAACAGACAAATATGCAAATTGACCTCTACAGCACCCAGAGCCAATCAGGAGTGAGCATGCAAATTAACCTGTGTGGGTAGCATGCACACATGCAGGTGCCAAGCGACTGGTGTCCTGGGAATGCCACTGGAGTGTCCGGTCCTGGGGGTGGCTGGAGTTCCAAGTCCCTTTGGTTTCTGCAGCCTCTGGACTGGAAACGGAACCAAGAGTGCGGGAAAGTTCGAGATACATTATTAAGGGAAATGAAAGTTAATCTAATCAAATGCATTATTTATATTAAGAATATTACATTTCCATTTACCTTGGTTACATGTTAACTGTTTACAAGCAGAAAATACAGTAATAAATGAATCTAAGATTTATGATCATAGAGAGATACTCATTCAGGACTTTGGTTTGAATGCATGAATAGGCGATGAAAAATGCCACAAAATCATTCTACACTTAATTTTTAATTATTTACTATTATGAGATATCTATCTAATGGCTATCATATATAAAATGTACTTATTATAAATGGATTTCTAATTTTGCTTACATATCTGTTTTTAGTGATATAAACCTGTTTGTTAACACACCAGAGAAAAATTCCACTTTCTTCTTTGGGATCAGTTCTGTCACCACCTAATGTGCATCTTTTTTTGCCCTGTGATGAAGTGCAGAGCTGCATTTCTAAGCTGGTGCCAGTTTCTTGGAAAGGAAAATCACCAAAAGGCGTTTAAAGTAGCCATTTGTGCCTAGTGTTCTTACAAAGCAACATTCAGTTAATCTGCTTCTGAACATCCAAAAATGAAGAATTTCTGGATTCTTTTTAAAATTGTGTCCTTATCTTATGCCAAAATATTAGTTCTGTTTGTACTAAGGACAATTCTAGTTCATAAAAACCCTGGACTAACTTCTTTTCTTCCATTAATTCATATTAGCCTTGGCTAAGAAATATAACTAACTTTGGAGTTTTAATTTATTTATTTATTATTTTCACTGATTCCATTACCATAATCATGTAGTAGAAGGACTACTGAACTAAAAGTCAGATGACCTGAATTTTATAATTTATAGAATATTTTTCTATTCACTTAAGCTTCTTTATATATATTCTACCTTCTTTGTGGGATATTTTAAAGATGAAATGAAGAAATGCTTTAAAAAGTAAAAACAAATAGTATTTAAATACAATGTGTTATAATAGAAAGAAGATAGTTTTATTTTTCATAATATTAAAGAAGCTAAAGACTTCAAAAATCTTTAAATTTTTCTGGAAACTATAGATGGTATATGTACAGTTCAAAATTCTAGATCCAGTAGTGAACATTTATAAGGCACATGGTATGATGTCTATTTCTCCTTCCTCATTCCTTTTATTTTTCGTAGTAGTTGTTTTCACTTTTTGCAGATAAATCTCCTTGTTTCTCCTCCCCCGCCATACCACCCAATACACACATTTACCCACAAATACTTTTGTCTTTCTTCAAAGGGAGCCACCATTAAGAAAGATGAGCAGACTGGGGCCATCATTGTGGCTAGAATCATGAGAGGAGGTGCTGCTGACAGAAGTGGTAAGAGTTTAAATGTTAAGTGAATATAGACAAGTCATGCTGCATTTCACAGATAATATTTTAATATATACATAAGAGGATAATAGTCTTTTGATATAATACAACAAAACAAGAAATAAAATATTTTTCTCTGTCTTGATATATGGGAACTTGTATAAATAAGTGAAAAATAAATCTCTTTCTACTCTCTTAGCTTGCATGGGCTTCCAAGGTTACATTGAGACTTGTTTCAGTGTTTCTGATTTGAAAGATACTACTAAAAGCATGTAGCCTTTTTTTTTTTTAAGTAAGAATTATTTTCTAAGATGGAAATTATATGCATTTCTAGACACTGAGCATAATGGTTTTCTTTGATGTTATAGTCTTTGATTCATTGCTATACAAACGCATGTAATCTGAAACTGGAGAAGCCAGAAGGTCTTCTTTTCAATCCTCAGATATGTAACTTACAGTTTCTTTTGTAGGTAACACTGCTAATTTACTGAATTTGCTATTACCCAGGTCTTATTCATGTCGGTGATGAACTTAGGGAAGTGAACGGGATACCAGTTGAGGATAAAAAGCCTGAAGAAATCATTCGGATTTTGGTAAGCTAAAATTTTATTTTAAATTATAAATCACTATATATATCCAACTAGGTTATGAATACAGGGTTTGGATTTAGCAGTCCAGGATTCAAATTCCAGCTCCATCACTTAATCCTTATGTGTCTTTGGAAAATACCTTAACCTTTTTATTGCACCAGTATTTTCAGTTACAAAATATAAATAAGAAGAGTTAAATATCTCACTGGAATGTTTTGAAGATTAAATAAGCTAAAGAGTTTATTACAGGTCCTATCCCAATTAGATGCCATTTTTTGGGTGATTTATTTATCTTTTCTTTCTCCCATCAATATAGCCTATACTTTCTATGTATATAAAATAGTAAAACTGCCTAAACTGGTTTGGCTCATGTGTTCTTACATGGATAGAGTATCAGCCTGCGGACTGAAAGGTCCCAGGTTCGATTCCGGTCAAGGGCATGTATCTTGATTGCGGGCACAACCCCAGTAGGGGGTGTGCAAGAGGCAGCTAATCAATGATTCTCTCTCATCAATGTTTTTAACTCTCTATCCCTCTTTCTTCCTCTCTGTAAAAAATCAAAGTATATTTAGAAATAAATAAATAAAATAGTAAAACTAATTTAAATGTCTTATGAAATCCAAAGCAGAATGAAATTATTTTAGGCCTTGACAATATTTATTATCAAGTTCATTTATAAAGATAAAATGAAGAGAAACTGTCCCTGTTATTTATGAAAACATATTATGAATCTACAGAAATAAAAAAAAGTTTAGTATTTCAAAACAGACCTTAGTATATGTGCATATTTAGTATAGATTTTGGTGGCATTTTATATTACAGGGAAAACAATGAAATCACTTTGTAAATGGATTGGATTAATTGATGATTCAGTTAGAAAAAATAAAGTCAGTCCCTATTTTCTACCTCATACAAAAACAAATCCCAACAAATTAAATACTCAAGTTTTTGTTTATATGATTTTTGTAGTAAAATAAATTGATAGACCTTTTTGAGGTGGCTACCTATACTTTCAATTTTTATATTTGCATATCCTTTTTGTTGTTATTGATAGTATTACAGATGTCCTCCATTTCCCCATACCCTTTTTCACTCCACCCAGCCATTGCCACACCCCAGGCCTTTACCACACTACTATCCATGTCCATGGGCTATGTTTATATTCTATGCTGAATCTCCTCCCGATCTTCACCCCCCTTCCCTCTGAGATCTGTCAGTCTGTTCCATGTGTCTAGCCTCTAGCCCTATTTTGTTCATCAGTTTATGTTCATTAGATTCCACATATTAGACATACAGTATTTGTCTTTCTCTGATTGTCTTTTTTTTTTTTTTTTTTTTTGCTTAGCATAATAACCTCCAAGTTTATTCATGCTATTGCAAAGGGTAAGAGATCCTTCTTTATTACAGCCACATAGCATTCCATGGTGAAAATCCACTACAGTCTGTTTATCCACTTCTCTACTGACTAGAGGCCCAGTGCACAAAATTCGTGCATGGGGGTGGGGGGGTGGGGAGTGTCCCTCAGCCCAGCCTGTACCCTCTCCAATCTGACACCCCTCGAGGGATGTCCGACTGTCCCATAAGATCGGGCCTAAAAATGGGCAGTCAGACATCCCTCTCACAATCCAGGACTGCTTGCTCCCAACTGCTCGCCTGTCTGCCTTCCTGATTTCCCCTAACCGATTCTGCCTGCCAGCCTGATCACCTTAACCATTCCCATGCCAGCCCGATTGATATCTAACTGCTCCCCTGCCAGCCTGTTTGCCCCAACTTCCCTCCTCTGCCAGCCTAGTCACCCCTAACTGCCCTCCCCTGCAGGGTTGATCACCTCCAACTACCCTCCCTTGCAGGCCTGGTCCCTCCTAACTTCCTTCCCCTGCTGGCCATCTTGTGGTGGCCATCTTGTGTCCACAGGGGGGCAGGATCTTTGACCACATGGGGGCAGCCATCTTATGTATTGGAGTGATGGTCAATCTGCATATTACTCTTTTATTAGATAGGAGGATAGAGGCTTGGTGCATAGGTGGGGGCCAGCTGGTTTGCCCTGAAGGGTGTCCCAGATCAGGGTAGGGATTCCCTTGGAACGTGGGGCAGCTTGAGCGAGGGGCCTGTGGTGGTTTGCAGGCTGGCCACACTCCCCTGCGACCCAAGCGGAGGCTCTGCTAATGGGATTTATTTATCTCCTATAATTGAAACTTCGTAGCCTTGAGCAGAGCCAAGCCTCCTGCTTGCTCCATGGCTGCAGCCATTTTTATTGGGATTTATTTATCTTCTATAATTGAAACTTTGTAGCCTTGAGTGGAGGCCAGGGCAGGTCAGGGCTATGGAAGCTTGGCTTCCTCCATCTCTAGGGGCAACTCAAGACTCCTGCTCTCTCCAGCTCCGTGGCTGCCATCATTTTTTTGTCAGGATTTATTTATCTTCTTTAATTGAAACTTTGAAGCCTTGAGTGGAAACCTGGGCTGGCCAGGGTGTGCAGAAAGCTTGGCTTCCTCCATTACCAGGGAAACCTAAGCCTCCTGCTCGCTCTGTGGCTGCAGCCATCTTGGTTGTATTAATTTACATAGTTGCTCCTGATTGGCTGGTGGGCATGGCTTGTGGGTGTAGTAGAGGTATGGTCAATTTGCATATTACTCTTTTATTATATAGGATGTGGCTATGGACATAGAAGTGCAAACATTCTTTCAAGCTAATGTTTAGGGATCCTTAGTATATATTCCCAGAAGTGGGATCCCTGGGTCAAAAGGCAGTTCAATTTTAATTTTATTGAGGAAACTCCATACTGTTTTCCAGAATGGCTGCAGCAGTCTACATTCCCACCAGCAGTGTACTCAGGTTCCCTTTCTCCACATCCTCTCCAGCACTTGTTTGTTGATTTAATGATGGCAGCCATTCTGGCAGGTATATGGTGATACCTCATTGTGATTTTAATTTGCATCTCTCTGATGATTAGTGACATTGCATATTCTTTCATATGTCTATTGGCCATCTGAGTATCATCTTTGGAGAAGTGTCTGTTCAGAACCTCTGCCCATTTTTTAATTGTATTATTTATCTTCCTAGTGTTGAGTTGTATCAGTGCATTATATATTTTGGATATTAACCATTATTAGAGATGTGTCATTGGCAAATATGTCTTCTTACCATGGGTTCCCCTTTCATTTTGTTGAAATGATGATCCAATTTGCTGTGCAGAAACTATTTACTTTGATATAGTCCTATTTCTTTATTTTTTTTTCTTGCCCTAAGAGTTGTATTGATGAAAATACTTCTAGTTTATTGTCTGAGATTTTTCTGCATAAATCTTCTCCCAGGCTTTTTATGGTTTCACAACTTAAATTTAAGAGTTTTACCTATTCTGAGTTTATTCTTATGTATAGTGTAAATTGATAGTCTAGTTTCCTTTTTTTTTTGTTTGCATGTACCTGTCCAATTTTTTCAAAATAATTTATTGAAGAAACTGCCTTTACTCCTTTGTATTCTCTTGCCTCTTTTGTCTAGTTTTACTTGACCATAAAGATATGGGTTTATTTCTGGGCCCTCTATTCTGTTCCATTGATCTGTATGCCTATTCTTGTGCTGGTAATAGGTTGTTTTGATTGCAGTGGCTTTGTAGTATGGTTTTCTTATCCGGTATTGTGATTCCCCCCATTTGTTCTTCTCAAGATTACTGTGACTATTAGTGGTCTTTTTTGCTTTCCTATACATTTTTGAAATATTTGTTTTAGATCTGTGAAACATGCCATAGATAATTTTTTGTTTTGTTTTGTTAATCCTCAACAGAGGATATTTTTTCCATTGATTTTTAGAGAGTGAAAGGGGAGTAGGGGGAGGAGGGATGAAGAGAGAGAAAGGAATATCGATTGAGAGAGACACACCAGGGCAGTTGATCAAATGTGCAAGCCAGATATGTGACCTTGAACCCGAGACCCTTCTGTGCATTGACTGATGATTTAATAACTGAGCAACACCAGCCAGGGTGCCATTCATTTTTTAATAGGGATTGCTTTGAATCTATAGATTGCTTTGGGTTATATAGACATTTTAATAATGTTAATTCTTCCAATCCATGAATATAGTATATGCTTCCACTTGTTTGTATCTTCCTCTATTTATGTTGAAATCTCTTATAGTGTTCTGATTACAGGTCTTTTACCTCCATTAAGTTTATTTCTAGATATCTTTTCTTTTTTTCTTGCAAAGGTAAATAGGATTGTATTTTTAGTTTCTCTTTCTGAGAGTTCATTGCTGGTGTATAAAAATGCCATCAATTTCTGCATGTTAATTTTCTATCATATTAATTTGCCAAATTCATTTATTAAATCTATCAGTTTTTGGTGAAGTCTTCAGGTTTTATAATACAATTTCATATAATGTGGTAATATTACAGTTTAACTTCCTCCTTTCCAAATTGGGTGCCTTTTCTTTTTTTGTCTGATCACTGTGACTAGGACTTCCAATACTATGTTGAATAAGAGTAGTGAAAGGGGTCATCCTGTCTTATTCCTGATCTTAAAGGAAACACTTTTAGTTTTTGTGATTGAGTATGATGTTGGCTATAAGATTGTCATACATGGCCATCATTACATTGATGCATGATCCCTCTATTCCTACTTTGCTGAGAGGTTTTTTTTAATCAAAATTGGGTCCTGGATTTTGTCAAATGCTTTTTCTGTGTCTTTTGATATGATTACATGATTTTTATACTTCATTTTTTTATATGATATATCACATTTATTGATTTGTGAGTATTATACCAACCTTGCACCCTCCAAATAAATCCCACTTGGTCATGCTGTATGTTCTTTTTAATTTATTGTTGGGTCTGATTTGCTAATATTTGTTAAGGATTTTAGCATTTTTGTTCAAAACAGATATTAGCCTATAATATATTTTTTTGTGTATTGTTTTTATCTGGTTTTGGAATTAGAATAATGCTATCCTCATTAAAATAGTGTGGCTTTAGCCAGTTTTGCCCAGTGTTTAGAGCACTGACCCAAGGACTGAAAGGTCACAGATTGGTTCTAATCAAGGGCATGTTCTATCACTGGCCTGGGTCAGCATGCTTGTGGAAGGAAACCAATCAATGTGTCTCTCTCACATGGATGTTTCTCTCTGTCTCTATCCTGCCCTTCCACTCTTTCTAAAAATAAATGGGAAAAATTACCTCATGTGAGGATTAACAATAACAACAACAAAAAAGAATGTGGATGCCTTCTCTCCTCTTGAATTTATTGCAGTAGTTTGAAGAGGATAGGTGTTAGTTCTTCTTTCAATGTTTCATAAAATTCACCTGTAAAGCCTTCTAGCCCAGCACATTTGTTTTCTGGGAGTTTTTAAAATTATTTCTTCAACTTCATTAGGTATTAATCGACCTATTAAGGTGTTCTGATTCTTCCTGATTGAGTTTTTGTGTGTTTCTAGGAATTTGTCCATTTTGCTTAGTTTGTCCAATTTGTTGACATATATATTTTCATAGTATTTTCTTACAATCCTTTGTATTTCTGTGACATCAGTTGTTACTTTGCTTCTTTCACTTATGGATTTTACTTGGGCTCTCTGTCTTTGGTTCTTGATGAGTGTGGCTATAGGTTCATCAATTTTGTTTATTTTTTCCAAGATCCAGTTCTTGGTTTCATTGATCTTTAGTATAGTTTGTTTGTTTTTTTGTTCTCTATATTTACTTCTAGCCTGTTTATTATTTCCTTCCTTCTACTTATGCTGGGATTTTTCTTGTTGTTCTCTTTCTAGTTCTTTTAGTTGTAGGGTTAGATAGTTCATTAAAGACTTTTTTTTGTTTCTTGAGGTAAGCCTGTGATGCTCTGAACTTCTGTCTCAGGACTGCTTTTACTACCCCATAAATTTGGGTTTGTTGTGTGTTCATTTTCATTTGTTTCCAGGAAGTTTTTTTTATTTCTTCTTGGATCTGATTGGTAATGCATTCATTGTTTAATAATATGCTATTTAGCCTCCATATATTTGAAATTTTTGAGTGTTTTTATTTACTTGATTTCTAGTTGTTTGCCATTATGATCTGAAAAGATGATTGATACAATGTTCCTGAACTTATAGAGAGTTATTTTGTGTTCAACATGTGGTTTATATTTGAGAGTGTCCCGTGTATACTTAAGATGAATGTATATTCTGCAGCTTTGGCAAGAAATGTTCTGTAAATGTCAATTAAATTATCTGATCTAGTGTGTCACTTAAGGTTGAAGTTTCATTTCTTATTTGTTTTTGTTTTTTTGTTGTTGTTTTTTGGGGGAGAACTATCTAGTGATGTTGGTAGGGTGTTAAAGTCACCTACAATGACTGTGTAGCTATTGATCATTCACTTACAATGTTCTCCAAGAGTGTTTTTTAAAATAATATATTTATGTGGTCCTATTTTGCTGCATACATGTTTGTCAGGGTTATGTCCGCTTGTTAGATTGATCCTTTAGTATTATGTAGTGGCTTTTTTTATTTTTATTAAATTTTATTGTTCAGATTATTACAGTTGTTCCTCTTCCTTCCCTCCCATAGCTCCCCTCCACCCTGTTTTTACCCCACTCTCTGCCCTTACCTCCCCCTCCACTGTCCTCATTTATAGGTGATAGGTGTATGATTTTTATCCAGTCTCTTCCCACACCCCCCACACCTTTTTCCCCCTGAGGATTGTCAGTCCACTCCCTTTCTATGCCCCTGATTCTATTATATTCACCAGTTTATTCTGTTCTTCAGATTTTTTATTCACTTGATTTTTAGATTCACTTGTTGATAGATATGTATTAATTGCCTTCCCCTGCTGACCTGATCACCCCCAAAGGCCCTCCCCTGCAGGCCTGGTCCCTCCCAACTGCCTTCCTCTGCAGGCTTGGTTCCCCCCCCCCCCAACTGCCCTTCCCTGCAGTCCTGGTCCACCCCCAACTACCCTCTCCTGCAGGCTTTGTTCCTCCCAACTGCCCTCCTCTGCAGGCCTGGGTCCCCCACAACTGTCATCCTCTGCCAGCTATCTTGTGTCCACATGGGCAGCCTTCTTTTGCATTGGAGTAATGGTCAATTTGCATATTACCTCTTCATTATATAGGATTTTCCATACATTAAAATACCTTCCCACATAAACACAAACTAGAAGAATATGAAGGGATTATAAAGAAAACTTTTGGCCGAAACCAGTTTGGCTCAGTGGATAGAGCGTCGGCCTGCAGACTAAAGGGTCCCAGGTTCCATTCCAGTCAAGGGCATGTACCTTGGTTTTGGGCAAATCCCCAGTAAGGGATGTGCAAGAGGCAGCTGATCGATGTCTCTCTCTCTCTCTCTCTCGTCGATGTTTCTAACTCTCTATCCCTTTCTCCTTCCTCTCTGTAAAAAATCAATAAAACATATATTTTTTAAAAAAAGAAAGAAAACTTTTGCTTTCTCTCTACCTATGCAATTCAGTATTATATGAATTATTAATAAGATTTGTGAATTACTTTTATGATAATCAGTAACAATGATATTGTTTTGAAGTCACTCTTTTATAAAATTATAATATATACGATTAAACCTATTTTATTCAAGACTCTGTACTATATTGGAGCCTTCCTAGGCTTACAAAAGCTGATTCTATGCAACTTTTCCCAGCATGGCTACCAGTGACTTCACACTGGTAAATTGACAAATGAAACAAATCAGGGCTTTTTTTTTTTTAATAAAACACAGTCTGTTTTACTAGAACACCATTGATAGACTCAGAGAGATCTATTTTTCCCTTTATCTCTCCTTCCCTGCCTCCTTCCTCCCTGTCTCTCCCTGTCTTTCTCTTTTCTTCCCTTCCTCAGACTTCTTAGATATGTTTTAGATATTTACTGCTTTTATAGAATTTACAGTTAGCAAAGATAACAGATATTAAGCAATTGTATAAATAATTATTTAGATATGATAAATGCTAGTAAAGGAGAAGAATAAATAGAAAATGACATGAGAGAGTTTATTAAAGGGAGATCTACTCTTGTCTGAGTTAGCAAAGACTTTGGGGTATTGTTGCTTGTTGTAATTAAATTTGAATAGTCAATCTTTTAATCTTTTAATTTATTATTTGGTATTTTACTCACTAACCAGAATATAATAGAGATGAATGTTCTTTACTATTTTTTCTGGATGATGATATGTTTTTGTGTATGTGGATGCTGATACTTAAATGGAATAGTCTGATCCTTGAACATTATCTGTTCTCCACATTTATTGTTGTCTGTAGAAGGCACTATGCATAAGTAACTCGACATGGATGGTAATATATTCATCGGCATTTTAAAAGTTCACAAGGAAGTAAAAGTGGGTTTAGTGGTTGATGTTTTTTAAATTATTTGACAAACTTTAGTGCTTTCTTATGTTACAGGAATTTATACGAAAATACTTTTCTCAGTTTGATCTCTCTAAGAATAGAAATCCCAAGCTTGTAAATTTTCAGATACACTTAGTTTTCTAGCTATTTTTTCTTCCCTCTCCTTGGCTCTAGAAGTTTTTTTTTTGTTTGTTTGTTTGTTTGTTTTTAATAATTCTTTCCTCTTATAATCAGGCTCAGTCTCAGGGAGCAATTACATTTAAGATCATACCCAGCATCAAAGAGGAGACACCATCTAAAGAAGGCAAGGTAATTATTACTTTAAAATCTTTCCTGTGGAGGGTGCAAGGGCTAATGGGTTTTTCATCTAATACATATCTCCTTTGTCATGGCAAGTTTATTTTAATATTTTTTTTCCAATTGTTCTTAAATTAGAGTTAGAAGAATATTGGGCGTTTGATATTTTTTATATTTATTCATTTTAAATAAAACTTTCTTTCAGATGTTTATCAAAGCCCTCTTTGATTATGACCCTAATGAGGATAAAGCCATTCCATGTAAGGAAGCTGGGCTTTCTTTCAAAAAGGGAGATATTCTTCAGATTATGAGCCAAGATGATGCAATGTGGTGGCAAGCGAAGCATGAAGGTGATGCCAATCCCAGGGCAGGCTTGATTCCTTCGAAGCACTTCCAAGAAAGGTGAGCTACGGGCATGTATGATGGCCTTTCTTCAGCTGACCTTTTGTTCTCTGCAAAATATCCCTCAAGCATAGTTGTGATAAAATAAGCACTAAAATCTTGCCTTAGAGTCCTTTATCCCTCAGGTTTGGATTTCTGTTTTGTCTGAGTATGAATAATGACCAAAAATAATATGACAGTTCCAGATCATATTTGGTTTTTGTTATGAAGCAAATGGAAAATCACACATTAATATCTGAAACTGGATTGATGTGAAAGATGGCAAAAGTTAGAGTGATTTTGGAGTGGAAATAATTTATAAAAATTTGAAGTTAGAGAATTCAGTTCTTAATTTGAATAGATTGCATTGTGTTCCTTTCCCCCTAACTTTCCAGCTCTTTCTTAAGACTTTTAATATTTTGGTGTTATATTAACCTTGGATCTGTACTGAAAATTGATAGGCATATTCACCTTCTTTTCCTCCCAGGAGATTGGCTCTGAGACGACCAGAAATAATAGTTCAGCCCCTCAAAGTTTCCAACAGGAAATCATGTAAGTTTGTTAATAAGAATGCAGACTAACCAAATCTTGGTGTTTATTTTTTACTATTAAAGCAGGTATTTGTGATAGAATGACAGGTCATATTACCTTCTGAGAATTTTTGGATCTATATTTTAAATAGATTAGAGTGAATCTTTTGAAGAAAGGGGTGTTAGGAGTAATTTCTAATAAATCCATGGCTCTTTAAGAAAAGGACTAATAACTACAGCTCTTTTGAATTCTGGATTTAAGTATTTTATTTCTCCAAAGCCAGGAGGTTTGGGTAAGATATTTCTTGGTAAAGATTAAGGGGAAAAATTCACCACATTCTTGGACACAAAAGCAGTTGTGCCTAAGAACAATTAATTGTTCTTCCTCTTAGTTACCCAGAAATCATAGTAACTCTGATCTTTTACTTGTCTGTTTGGAATTGTTACCAGAATAGATTAGAATAAAATAAGAGTAAGAAAAAAAAATGACATAAGATAACTGAAAAATATAGCGTAGATTTAGGTGCCTTTTTTTTTCCAGCCCACCTTTCTCTCACTTTCCTTTACTTCCCATCCCTCAAGTCCCCTATCCCATAAATTTCCTACTTCTTCTCTTCTAAATGTTTAAGGCATTTTAAGAGTTTAAAAAAATCCCTTTGTTTTCAGCATGGAAATTGTACATTAAAGGGCAAAATGAAAAAATAAATGGTCCTAGAATTTTATACCAACATCTGTTTTTAGTATTGTTGCATTTTTCACATCTCCTGTTATTTCTGTCAGTTTGTAGAAGCTTATAGCCCAGGAATTACATCATTAGAGAGCCAAACTACAGTCAGTATAAATCTCCCGAGCAAGCAAATACTTCAAGTGCAGCACTAATTCAAAAGCCTGCTTGTTCTTGCTCTGCCTAGTCTGGGCAGAAAGGCAAAAAAGCAAACAAACAAACAAAAAACCTAAAAAACCTGTAGAATGTCACATGTATTGTGACATCAGAAACTGAAAGTTGAACTAGAACGATGCATTATTTTAAAGTGTGATGAATTTTCACTGACAGCTCATCCAGTTGAAAGGACCTTTGAGACATCCATCTCACTTGCTCTATGAGAAGTTTAAATTTGGGGTCTGCACATTTCTAATATATCTGGTGCATGTGAGATAAAATATATATAACTTAAAAAAGAAATTAATGTGATTCTCTTTGAATCTGAATCCATACTCAAATTAGTATAATTTGATATAATTAGAAATTTTCATTTATTTAAAAATATTGATAAATATTTCTTTAAAGAACTATGTAAGTTGAATAGGTCGTCTTTATAATACATTTCCCAGACTGGTTTCAGTATAGATGTGCACGAATGTGAAGTGGGGAGTGTGAGTGTATGTTTAAGCAATAATTGTAATGAAGGCTTTTTCCATGCTAATTTGTGTAATTTTTTATGTTACTACTTCATTATTTGAATTTGAGAAATATTTATTGGAGGATTTATTTTTACTGAAATGTCCTCATTTAGATGTTTTAGTATTTTTCTCTCTCTCTCTCTCTCTCTCTCTCTCTCTCTTTTTTTTTTTTTTGCCTCTTTAGTATTATATAAAAATACTTATCCTCCTTTCACCTTCCTTCCTTATGTTTTTTTTTCTTTTCTTTCTCTTTACCTCTTTTTTAAAATTTTTATTAAATTCTGATTCACTGAAAAAAATGCATTGTTTATTTTCATTAATGGATATTATTTATTTTGAATAGAAATAAACCTGGCCAATATTATCTCAGTTAAATCACGAGTATATTATATATATATATATATATATATATATATATATATATATATAATATATATATATAGCCATGTTCAGAGATAGTATATTTTTATGAAAACTAAGTAGAAAGCTAATAACTTTATTCTAAAATAATTAAAATTCAATTTTATAAGCATTTTTAGTGCAGACCCCAATAGATATCGCCAAATTGCCCTCAGTGAGATTATACTAGGTAACAATACCATCCACAGTGGATGGCCATCATTCATTCATTCATTCATTCATTCAAATGACTTGCCATTGGCCAGTTGGGGCAGAGGGTACATGATGAGTCCCTCTGCAACTCCCAGGGACTTACAATCTTATTATTACCAGACTAGATTAAAATAGTTAACAGTCTTCATTGTTTCTTTTCTTTCCTGTCTCATCTTCTTTAGCATCAACAAACTAGCATGAATAAATACAGTGTTTCAGAACAGTGTCTGATATAATTCACATAAAATACATGTTTTAACGCATACCACCAGTGGTTTTCAGTATACTTACAAGCTTCTGCAACCATCACTATTATTTAGTTCTAGGACATTTTCACCACCCCCAAAAGTAACCCCATTAGCAGTCACTTTCCATGATTTCTTGCCTCTAGCCCATGGCAAACATTAATCTATTTTCTGCCTCTATGAATTTACCTATTCTGGACATTTCATATAGATGGAATCATATAACGTATGACCTTTTATAACTGACTTTTTTCATTTAGCGTAATGTGTCCAAGGTTCATTCATATTGTAGCATGGGTCAGTGCTTAATTTCTTTTTATGTCTGAACAATATTCCAGTGTATGGCTTGGATCTTTCACACTTAGTTTAAGCATTCACCAGTTGATGGGCATTTGGGTTGTTTACATCTTTTGGCTATTAGGAACAATGCTGCTATGAACATTCATATTTGACTTTTCTGTGAGGACACATGCTTTAATTTCTCACGAGTACATACCTACAATGCCCTAACAAAGTTAAACATGGTAACTATATGTTTAACTTTTTGAGAAATTGCCAAACTGTTTTCCATAGCAACTGCATCATGTTACATTTCATCAGCAAAGTATGAGGGGTTCCAACTTCTCCACATCCCTGTCAACACTTGTTATTGTTTGTCTTTTTAATTATAGCCTTCAGCATGGGTGTGAAGTGGGATCTCACCGTGTGTTTTTTTACTTTATTTTTATTGTTGATACTATTGCAGATGTCCCTATTTTGCCCACCTCCACCAAGCCCTTTCCCTCTTCCCTCTGGCCACCACCACACTGTTGTCTATGCATATGTGTTCTCTGGCTAATCTTCATTTTGAAATTTTTGTTGTTGTTGTATGAGAAACCATTAAACTCAAAAGTTATGCAATACTCATGGTCCTGGTTCTGAACATTTTAAAAGGCATTTAAAAGCACTGTGTTTTGTAACCTGTGTATTTGATAGTGATATAACTAAATTTTGTAAAGGCCATCTGACTCAACATTTCCCAGACTCCAACATTTAGCCCTTATTTGGAATAAGACATTCATGTCATCATGCCCTGGGTTAAATTATAGAATAAGGCTGTGAATAAAAACAAAGATGATATAAAATCTTCTATTTTTATTACTCTAATAATTCATGAAATAGGTTTTTAAAAAGTATACAATTTAATGCAAAATGTCTAAAAGAATAATTTTGTCATGTTGGTGTTAACACATTTATGAAAAAAATATTCATGCTGATAAAAAATGTTCTAAGTGTATTTAAAATCTAGTAAGATATTGGTAGGCATAGAATTTAGAATAATGACTTCAGTGAGGTAATAGTATATATCAAATTGGGCAGTTAACACTTCACAAAGTGGTTGCCTGTATTACTATGATTTTACCCTTTATTTCATTTCACGGTGTATCGTTGTAACTAACGTTTGCATGGAGAAAAAGTTCATAGATGAGGGCTTGGCACTATAGGGGTTCAGTTGATGTCAATATAGAAGTGAAAAGGACTAAAGAATTCTAGTCCTCGCATTTTTTTGTTTATATTTTTTTCATTTATATTTGTTCCGAATTGCTGGCTCCTGGCTCCACGATAAATTAAATCCGGAGCAGAGATAATGCCAACCTCAACACTACCATCCTTATGCAAAGCTTTTAAGTGTGGGTGATGTCATCTTTGCCGCTTAGTTATTTCCTCTCCTTATCTAATATGCACCCAGAAAATAGACTTCTTAAACAAACTAATTTGCCTTTTAAAGATGAAACATACTAGTACCTAACTAAAAACTAAAACTTGAACTCTTAAATCAAACATTCCTAAATCTTAGAGGCTTGATATAGGGATTCATTTACTCTTCCTCCTCCTGTTTTTTGTTTTTTGAAGAATTGTTTACTTAACAAAGAAATTATTAATAGAATTCTGTGCTCCCTTCCCCTCGCCTTCATCTAATGATAGGCTCACACGTGGAGACAGAAGAGCAGACCCAGAGCTCCGATAGGTTTTTTATGGCCATCTTTTAGGTTATTATATGAAAGACACACGTTAAGTGTTTTTGAAAATGAGTAACAGTGTATTTTATGTCTTATGTAGCATATAGGAATGGTTTTCATCACAAACTTGGTAACTTGCAATTCTTGTGTCGATATAAAGTATTCTGATTTTCTGCTAAAAGCTTATTTTTATAATTCAGTTGCATTTATAAAGCAGTATTATATCATCTAATCTTTAAAAAGAAATATGAATTTCTTTGACTACTTGAAAGATATTTCCATTCCATTGAAATTGAAGTATTTAAGTTAAAAAATAGTCTTCCTACTAGCATAAATATTAATGCAACTTTAACTTCAATAGGCTGTAATTTACATTTAAATCCAGTTATATGGTATTCAGAAAAGGCTCTTATTCATATAGCAAAATATTCAGATAGTCCCTATATCAAGCTTCTAAAATTTTTTAAGAGTTTAAGTTTTAGTTTTTAGTTAGGTATGAGTTTTGCCCACATAGATATTTATACTACTTAGCTTTCACTTTTAGCTATCAAGATACAAATATCTGAAAATTTCTAACACCGCTGATTTCATATCATGTGGGTAAAAATGATCTTTAACTGCAGCCAAAAGTTGTCCATTCAAAGACAAGCATTTTGTGGATTGAAGATCACAATTTACCAACAACCGAATTTAAACATTGACTAAACAAATGAGTTCCAATATCCTGGAAGGCCAAATATTTGCAAATAATACATATAATGCTA